ATCAAACTGCTAATCAATGTGTTGAGTATTTATTTTGACTATTAATTAGACATTTCGTACAGATCAGTGAATATATCATACTTCAACACTTAAAATATGTTATAAAATGTGTGACGTAAATGTCTTGTTATCAGTAATATGATCACATGTACATTAAATCGTTCACATTTACCAACTGGAAGTTTTTTCAAAAAAAAATATTACTGTAATGAACAAGAACACAAGTAGGAACAATCAAATGTACTTAAGCATTTTAGTAAAATCTGAGAATCATATAGTAAATACTTCGTTTACAAATATCAGTTAGTTGTTTCAAACGTGACTGTTTCTTCTGCGAATAGCAATGAATTGTTTCAGACTTCATTGTTCTTTTGTTTCCACAACAATTATTCTTTGTTCTCATTATCTTTTCTTTGATCTTCTTAATCTTTTGCCTCCACGTATTTCACTTTGGATCGATGTTACATACTACTTATATCTGTCATGATCAGTAACACACACCACATAATAACGTGCAAAACTAAAATACATTTACATCGAAATTGTGCTGAAAAAACAAACAAACTACATGAAATAATTCTAATTTACAACACAATTCTAAGTGAATAAGAAGTGTAATATCTTGATGGAGTTTCGTTCTCTGAGCTGGATGGTTTGGTCGTGGAGCTTTCATCGTTCTTCTGAACCACATCATCAGCACAAACTTCACGAACTTCAGATAGAAGATTGTGCTGATGATGTCGCTCAGAAGAACGATGAAAGCTCCACGACCAAACCATCCAGCTCAGAGAACAAAACTCCATCAAAATCATCCACCTGAGCTACAGATCTTCTCCACCATCTCAAGTGTACTATCGTTTATTTCATTACATCAGATTTTTAATCTTTTCGTTTTAGAAAACAAATGAGATAATTAGTTGTTTATATTGTTTAAGTGTTCATTTGACTATTCATAAAAACAATCCATTTTATTTTAAACATAAAGTTTATATGTCATCAAATGATATGAATGATTTTTTCTGCTTTCGTTAATATAACTTCATTTATGATTTGATGTTTGTCTTTCGATAGAATAATTGATAAATTCATGGGAGAAATATCACTATTATTAGTCTTATAGTCATTTTTAGTTACTATTTCTTTTTCTGTTTATTTGTATAGATGATAAACAATTAATGGAACATTATTATGTGATATACTTATTTATTTGTTCATTCAGACATACTTATATAAACACTATAGAATTAGGTAAACTACTGATAAGACAAAAGGCTAGGTGAATCGAAAAAAAAAGTCACAAATAAACAAACTGGATACTCGCTCTTTGTAGTTGTGAAGTGTAGCGAAATACGTGACTTTGTGATATATATAGTTTATTTAATATTGATAGTTTGAATGACATTAATCACTAACAGTTTGTTTCAAAGAAAAGTATCAGTAAGGTTTATGATGAAAGTGCTTTGAATGTGTTTGAGTGTAGAAATTCCTTTGTTTCATTATTTTGAAGGGGGAGGTTGAGTTATTACTATTAAATTAGATTATAAATAACAAATTGATTTCTGTTGTTGGCCAGTGGTTAAACGACGTCTGTTGTTTCTATGTTTAGTTTAAATCATGTGATTGAGCTGAGTTATTTACTTGTTCGTTATGATTTTCAACAACTGGTAGCGTTCATGAAATGTTTACATTTACCTCAATGAATAAGATCAAATGAATTTTCATATCAAACTGGTTATTAACTAAAAACCTGCTAGTAATTGAGGAACATGTCTACAATTGAAACTACTCATCAAATAATGTTTTAGATTTAAACAAGGATTAGTTTAAGGCTGGTAATTCTCATAACGACCATGATATACCATATACCATTAAAGTAAAGGCTAATAGTCATTTTACATGTGCATTTAATTAATCGTAAAGAGTTTTCATTAGCTGTAGCATGGATGACTTCATTAATTCACTAATTTGTAAAGTAAACATTTGGATTTTGTTTTGAATTCTTCCAAATTACTTTCTTCGCGTGATCTTGTTGACTTTTTACTTTTGGTGGCTAACCTTCATTTAACTAATGGGTCACTCTTATTTGTGTTCCAGTCAGTCGATTATTTGTGATTCGTTTATTACTACCTGTAAATTGTAATGAATGTAAGCCTAGTAATTTTGAAGAGATGAAGACTTTTAACTTATTCTTGAAATTTATTAACTCTATTTTAGTAAGAACTTACTCACTTACGCTTGTTACTCCTCGTGGAGGAGCATAGGCCACCTACCACCATTCTCCATCCAATCCTGTACTGGACAGTCCTTTGTAGCTTTTTGCAGTTGATATTTATCTTCTTTATGTCGGCCTCTATTTACCGACGTAATGTGTTATTTGACCTTCTTCTTTTTCGCTTCCCTTCAGGATTCGAAGTTAGGGCATGCCTCTTTTAGTAAGAAGGGTCACGGGAATTTATTTAACTTGAAGGTGTGCACAGCATAACAGAGGTGTTTGAAATTATTAATTCTATTCCTTTTTGTGTAATTGGATTCTAACAACATGAAATAGGTTTTGATGTTATCTTATTAACAATGGTTTTTAATTTCATGTCATCCTGTAAAAATGAAGTATATAATTGCATTGTATTAACTGTTGAGTGGGTTTGAGACGAATTTACGTATTCTCTTGTGAGAAGCCATAACCTGTAGTATCAGCACTATTGTGAGGGCGAACGTTTTTTGCTAATATCTGTAAATGTCGCTGGCATTATCTCAATCTTACTGAGTTTATTATTATTAGCTTCATCTAATATTATATTTTTGGTACTTATTGAATTCTCAGAACAAGGTATTTCAACTAGTTTCTGTTTCTTATTTCTTGATCGATCCTGACGATAAATACTGAGTGATCGCCAATTAGATATAAGCATTTCAGAAGTCGACATCTGAGTAATATTAATTCTTATCAGCGCACATTGTAAGCTATCACGATGTCTACAACTACAAATTTTTGTAACTTGTACAGCGAAAGGTTGTAAACATTTCACAAACGCATCTGAATAGATTATGCAATTAATTGACATAGTGATCTGTCAAAACAAACAAGGAAACTGATAACTTATTGAAATATTTTGATGGCACGGACAGGTAGCCCAGATATTAAAGCAGGCCACCGAGTGTGTAAGATTGAATAATAATTTATTAACCTAGATATATTTCACAAACCATGAAAACTAACATGTTTAATGTATGACGAATGAACGGTTTAGTGCCCGAAAAATTAGAAATTATCATCAGCTGAATTCTGTATGCTAATAAAACTACATTTAAAATTCTTTTGATCGATAAAAAGACGCCACTAATGCTTTCTGAATTGACGAAAATGTTATAAGAGTTTTATAGATAAGGTATCACCTTCACTGCAGTTATAAAATATGAAATGAGCAGATCAAGATTCTAACTGATTGTTAGTTACCTAATTGGCACTTACATCTGAAATGTTCGATGGTGGGACGCCAGACGTTTTGTAATTCATCACAAAGTTGAGTATAACAGTCATGAATTTATACTATATATTCATTTTTCTTCACCTAGCCTTCTTCCATTCTGATTCTCTGCTGAACACAACGTACAAACCCGTAATGATCAACTTAGTGTTTTTGAAGAGTAACATACATATAATTTTCGAATTATTCAGCAAAGGTTCCACAGTATGTTAGCAGTGATTAGATGAAGTCAAGAATAAGTAATCATCCTTATACTCAAGTTTAATGATTTAGAAAGATGCATTACAAAACTACGTTCGTAACTAATATATACTTTAAATTGTACACAGAATACATGTTATGACTTTATTAGTGATATATAGATGGATAATACGACAAAAATATCTTCTTGATCTTTTTGAAGTTTTTTACATTAGCGAAAGTAAGTAGGACATATTAGACATAAGTACACATTTACGAACGAATACTTATTACTTGAGCACCAGTAAACAATCTAGTAGAATTCCCTATTGTATATTATCAGTAAATTATCAAATGACACTCACGAAACCTTTCAACCAATATTGAAGTCACAACCTTCAATACGAACATCAAGATAGTTCTAATGTATGGAGTTGAAACTTCGAGAAATACTACAACCATCATCAAGAACGTACAAGTATTTACAAATAGTTGTCTACGCAAGATACTCAACATCCGTTGACTGGATACCATGAAAAACAGCCAACTGTGGGAGAGAACAAACAAGCTTGCAGCATAGTAGGAAATTAGGACAAGATATTGGAAGTGGATAGAACATACATTGTGGAGATCAACAAACTGCATCACGAGGCATTCGCTAATTTGAGAACATTACGGGAAGCGGAAAAGTGGAATGCCAAACAACACATTACGTCGAGAAATAGAAGCAGATATGAAAAGAATGAATAATAAGTGTAAATAGTTGGAAAGGATTTGCCATGACAGAGTTGGATGGAGAGTGTTGGTGGGCGGCTTATGCTCCTCGACGAGGCTAATATACGTAAGTATGTAAGTCAACTGACGACAACATACTATAGAATAAAGTATTGAATAAATTTAAATATAAACTCCAGATTATTTTCACTTTAAATATTTCTAATGAAACAACCAATTAAAATCATTTGTGCTTGTAATTTAAAATAGAACTAATTTTTATGAAATAAACAAATAAATTTGTTAAGTATGAAAAAAAATTTTTTTCGCAAACTACATTTCGATTCGTTTATGATTGGTCAGTTTGTTTGATCCAATCAGATTATTTCAAATGATTAAAAATTTTTCAAAAAATTTTAAATATTAAAAAAAAATTGATTTAGAAAGACAAAAAGTGATTTTACTTAAAGGATATTTTATTTAGTATGGATAAGTATCATTCTAATAATAATAATAATGTAATACGTATTTCATGAAAAACATGAAGTTTCAATAGTAAATGTATTGATAACATTATTACATTTATCATTAAATGAACATGTGGTTTTGGAATAATGCAATATGTGGATTTTGTACTCGGGTTCCAAATGTATTTATTGGCGTAAGTGAAAATTATATTGATCTCATTAAAATTTTATCTAAGAATGAACTTTTATACGATAATTTCTGAAATTGTTTTTTTACATAAATATTTTAAAGTATTTTTACCAGCAATTGATGTTTGAACCAGTTTGTTTGTTTTATCAACAACAACAGCAACAAAAACAAACCAAAACAGAACTATTTGAAATGAATTAAGGAATTAATCTAACCCTCCAACAAGATCATGTGATGTTTACTTGATTGTAGATACTATATTCAGTTGACAGTAATATTATCAATTTTCTAAAGATTACAAAAATGAACCCAATAGATCCATTTTACTAAGTTAATTTATATACACACAGTTACTAATCAATTGATATTATATTTAATTGTTTACAGTTTGTTGGTAATTAATAATTCTATTGAAGTGTTATATTTTTTGTTAATCAACAAAATGATCTTTCAGCTTATTTCTATAAATTAAATTATTAGGCAAACTTTCATTTGCAAATTAAATAGTTATTATCTTGAAAGTTTTATTTTAGGGACAATACGTTGAATCATATACTTTTTTATCACAAGAAAATGGAAATGTCAGTGTTTGAAATCATGAGTCAATTAGAGCTAGACTACCATGGAAAAATTGAAAGAATTGGCTGGCCGTTTCATCCCAGTACGGGACCCCCCATCAGTGCGCATCCACGATCCTGCATCGCGAGATTTGGACCTAGAGCCTATTGGTCTCGCGCACGAGCTCTTAACCACTAGACCATTGAGCCGGCATCCAAGGATGTTATTGTCTAACTTCAACCATTTCACAGGATTGATAGGTCCTGGGTTCGAATCTTTCGAGGGGAGGGATCGTGGATGCGCACTTCTGAGGAATCTCATACTGGGACGAAACGGCCGTCTAGTGCTTCCAGATTTTCCATAGTGGTCTAGCATCAATTGACTCATGATTTCAGGTATTGAAATTTCTGAAAGTCTTCACGAAACGCCTTTCTGAAAATGAAAATGTTATAAAGAGATGTAAATTATGTATTGAGAAATTAAGATAATAGTAAGATAAGCAATTATATTTGCTTAGAGATATTTTAGGAAAGATTGATGGTGTCTGATATACTATCTATTTAAATGAGAAATTATTATGACTATTTAGTCTCTCGTTGGATCATATCTGTATGTTACATACCATGAGATTCAAATGTAGAAACGAAACACATTGAAAATGAGTGAAAACTAGTTTTTATATTCAAATTTAAAAAGCTATCGGTAATTGATCAATTCTGCTAGTGAATGTCTTAATTTAGTGTTTACGATTACCAATCATAAATTCTTTGAATCACTTTATATAAGAGATATTATGTTAAACATTTGATGTAGCATTTTGTCTCTGTATTCATACAACCACATCAAAGAAGAAAGTGATCGTTTAATGATTAACCTTCATTTATTTAATTTATATATATTAAGCTTATTGGTATAAATGTCCATCATTTTAATTCTTGATAATAAAAACTAAAAAACAATTGACCTAAATAAGATTTATTTGTTATATTTGTTAGTGATCCATTAACGTTTAAGAAGTATTTTCAAGTGTACATATTCAGTAATTTGTCCTATATAGTATTTTGTCATTTAAGCATATAGAACTTATCAAACAATTACTTGCCCACGCCGATTACTACTCGTGGAGGAGCATAAACCGCCCACCAACACCCTCCATCCAACTCTGTCATGGCAAATCCTTTCCAACTATTTACACTTATTATTCATTCTTTTCATATCTGCTTCTATTTCTCGACGTAATGTGTTGTTTGGCATTCCACTTTTCCGCTTCCCGTAATGTTCTCAAATTAGCGAATGCCTCGTGATGCAGTTTGTTGATCTCTACAATGTATGTTCTATCCACTTCCAATATCTTGTCCTAATTTCCTACTATGCTGCAAGCTTGTTTGTTCTCTCCCACAGTTGGCTGTTTTTCATGGTATCCAGTCAACGGATGTTGAGTATCTTGCGTAGACAACTATTTGTAAATACTTGTACGTTCTTGATGATGGTTGTAGTATTTCTCGGAGTTTCAACTCCATACATTAGAACTATCTTGATGTTCGTATTGAAGACTGTGATTTTGATATTGGTTGACAGATAGTTGTTTTGAGTTCCATATGATCTTCATTTGTCAAACAATAGTGAAGTATTACATATTTATTTTTAAGTAATATTAATGGGCGTATATGAACTAACTAGATTTTATCGAATGAAATAACTTTAATTAGTTTAAAAAGCTTTTAATTATTTACCTAATCTATTATATTCTAGTTAAATGAAAGACAATATGAACATTTGTCATTTAATTTTCGTTGTAAAATACATTGTTCGATAGATTTATTACTATTGTAAATTGAATGAATGTGAATAAGGATTTTTACATTTTTTAAATTGATTGTGAAATGTTTATTATTACTTAGGTAATTGAGTGTTTCAATGATTCTGTGATAATTCATTCAATTTAAATGAAATATTAAATACTATACTAATTTAGTATACAGCTATATAATTACAGCTTGATATTTACTATATATAAATAATTAAATTCCATAGTAACTGTCTAACAATAATTATGAGAAAAGAAGAATTGATTCAAGTAGATTGCTATTTGATTAACGAAAAATGATTTGAATCTTTATTATTATTTTCAATATTTAATTTATATTTTTAGCTAAATATACAATAAGAATATATGTTATTCATTCGTTATTGACTAATAACATGATGGATAAGTCGCTTAATCTTTTGGATTGGTTGAAATTAGAACTTGATACAGTTGGATACCGGCTCAGTTGCTTAGTGGTTAAGCACTCACACTCGAGACTGATAAGTCCTGGGTTCGAATCTCGTGGATGTGCACTGCTGAGGAGTTTCATACTAAGACGAAACGGCCCATCCAATGCTTCAACGTTTTTCATGGTTGTCTAGCTTTAATTGACTCATGATCCCAACTATTTTAATAACATTATTATTAGAAGTTTATTATTATTAGCTTCATTCAATATTATATTTTCGGTGGATTATAGAATTCTCAGCACAAAGTATTTCAGCTAGTTTCTATTTCTTATTTCTTGATCGATTTTGATGATAAATATTCAGTGATTGGCAATAAGGTATTAGCATTTCAAAAGTCAACATCTGAATAATATTGCCATCCATCATGATGTCTATGATTGTATGTTTTGCAAATTGTACAGGTAGTAAACATTTCACAAACGCATCTGAATAGATTATATTTATATGGTGATCTGTTAAGACAAATAAGGAAACTGATGACTTGTTAAAACATCTTGATAACAGGAACAGGTAGCCCAGATATTCAAACAGACCGCTTTAGATAATGACTTACATTCTAAATACATTAGTTTATGGGGATTGAGTATCATCAAAGTTGATGATTCTACTTTAGATAAGTGTTTACAGTTACAAAACGTATGGAAATAAATACTAATCAGTCAAATAAATGAAATAATGTTTTATATGATATTTAAAAATGAACTTATTATTTCATATTTTTGAGACAATTGTATAGTATAAACAATTCATGACGATCATTAATATCCAAAACGTACTATTTATTAGTTATATATATATATATATATATATATATATATATATATATATATATATATATATATATAGAAAGCCTATTGCTGGCAATCGAAAGTAGAAGAATGGATATTATATATTAAATTCAAAGTTTATTTTTCCCCTCTTATTAGTTGTTATTTAATATCGCTCATTTATTCGAGTGTATCAGTTAAATTCTTCATTTTAACATGATTAATAAACTTAGTCCATTATTATTAATTTAAATATCTTCTATATGATATACAAGAGTATCTCTTTGTTTTTAAACATTTTCCAGAATATAATCGTTAATTCATTAGAATGTTTGACAAGAATTATGTATGCAAAAACATAATTGGTAGATCTCATCTTTTTAAAAAGAAAAAGAAATGACTAGAAACATGTTTATCTAACTAATTATTCTATGAATAATGATATATTACTTCATTTAACTTTAGATATATAGAAAAAAAAATACAGGTTTCATTTTGTTTCAAAGAGTTCTGTTTAATATCATCATCGATTTATTTTATAATATTTTAATAGAATTTTGTTCTTTGAGCTGGATGGTTTAGTCATGGAACTATCATTGTTCTTCTGAATAACATTATCAATACAAACTTCAGGTAGCTACAAAATTTCATCACCATTTTATTCTATTCTATTATTACATAATTATTTTTCTTTACTGTGTACAAAATAATTATTATTTCACATTTATCAATCAATGTGATTTGATCATTCTGAAAAGTTAAACATTCCCAATTTTGGAATATTTCATTATTTAATCAATAATTTGTATATAAAAAATCGTATAGGTATCAAATATCTAATAGTTTTACACTAATTACAATTGAGTATTATAATCGATGACTAGTAAATTATTTTTCATTGATAGATTTATATATTTTAATATATGAATTAATTGCACGAAATATACAAACTAACATAGATAGATCTAAATACCTGATATATCTTTCTCTTTTTATCACAATCCTACAGTGAGTTGGTTACTGTCAGTCAAATAAATGTGGAATCATTAAAATAACGGAATATATTAATAGTTGTTTATTTAAATTTCATTCTCAACTTTTTATTTGTAAATAAATAATAATACAAATAATCTTGTAGTTAAAATTCTTATTATATAAATAGTGACCAAGAAAAATACTAGCACTGGTAATTTTTATGACGTCGAACACAATAAGATACTTACTACTTCTTATAACGGACAATACTGAAAAATGGTGCATGAAGAATAACTGACAGATTCATTTCGAGTGAAGATCAGTGTCAAACAAAACTGATTACTCTCTCTCACTTTCTTCTGGTAGTTGACTGGATTATGAAAACTTTCATATCTCAGGGAAAGAACGGTATACAGTGGACAGTTTG